CTCCCGGCTAGACACCTGTCATAGGGCTGACACGACACGTGTTAATAACTGTCAAAGCGTTTCTAAAATGACAACACAGACTTTACATCTATAGATTAGTATTATATCTACCAATATAACACTTTAGTGTATCTATATCTAAACTCAAATAGCCAAATCAAAAAAGTACTCAGGAAACCACTAACCAAACCAAAAATTCTCCATCCATCAAAAAGAATCGACAGAGTAGTCACTAAACTCGAAACAGGACACACCAACCTAAATAACCACCTAAAAAAAAATAAAAAACACACTACAGGTAACTGCCCACACTGCAAACAACTAGAAACCCCAGAACACGCACTCATCTACTGCACACAATACCTAACACATTGAACCGCATTACAAACCACCCTCAATCTAAACAAGGCTCTCACTCTAGAAGCAATACTAAACCCACAAAATAAACTAGAAAACTTCAAGGCCTTAGGCGTATTCTTAATCAAAACGGAACTAATAAAACGCATCTAAAAACAAAATAATCTACCAAATCAAAATCACATAAACAAACAAACATCCACCATACCCAGCTCCCTTAGTTCTCCTCCCCAACCCCATGGGCATCTAGTCAAAATCTCAAAATTCCCAAATTCTATATAAGCAGCCCCTAAAGCCCCCCTCTTGGGTTGCACACACCACTTTCGCCTCTTTCGGAAACACATTAAATGGCCTGGCCGGGCCCGTGTGCGAAATACGCATCAGTCGGAAAGCGCACGATAAATCTCCAAAGTAAGTAGGTTTAGTGTCTCATATTGCGGTAGAAAACACGGTGCTAAAAGTGAAGCCCATTTACCTCTACATTATCAACATAGTCTCTATCAGAAGTGTGGCTTCCGACTTGGTCCGGGCTGTCAAAATCTTCTATAAACACACAGATCTATCTTCAAATGTGTTTACATCTATAGATTAGTGTTATATCTACCTATATACCACTTTAAAATGTCACAGATCGCAGTATTTAAAGAAAACAAGGGGCTCAAAGTGTAGCATTTTTACTGTATTTTCTTAAGAAAATCTATGTTAGAAGTGTTCGGTCCGACTTGGCCCGGGCGGTCAAAATCAACTTTTAACACACAGATGTATCTTCAAATGTGTTTACATCTATAGATTAGTATTTAATCTACCTATATACCACTTTATAATGTCACGGTACATCGTATTTAAAAAAACCCAAGGGGCTCAAAGTGAAGCATTTTTACTGTATTTTCTTAAGAAAATCCAAGTCAGAAGTGTTCGGTCCGACTTGGTCCGGGCTGTCAAAATCAACTTAAACCTCACAGATGTATCATTTAATGTGTTTACATCTATAGATTGGTATTAAACCTACCTATATACCACTTTATAAGTCTGGTGATATGAATGATGCCAACAATTATAGAGGCATATCACTCATTGATACCATATGCAAAGTATTTACATCTATTCTTAATGCTAGACTACAGAGGTGGTGTAATGATAACAATATCATTGACGAATCTCAAGCTAGATTTAGACCCAACTATTCCACCACAGATCATATATTTTCACTACAGGCCATTATCCAAAAGTATGCATGTGAAAAGAAAGGAAGGTTCTACTGCTTATTTGTAGATTTCTCAAAAGCTTTTGATAATGTTGATCACAATATGTTGTTACAGAGTTTGGCTGATATTGGTGTCTGCGGAAAGTTTTTGTCTATTATCACATCAATGTACGATAAACTGTGTGCCTGTGTTAGAACACCTACTGGGTTATCCAAATACTTTAAGTGTAATATAGGTACCCGTCAAGGATGCATCCTCAGCCCTCAGATGTTTTTAATATTCATAAATAAACTTGTAAATTTTATGGAAAATTATGGAGGACAAACCGTCTTTATTACAAAAGACTGCCCAGCAATATATGCACTTAAGTTTGCTGATGACGTGTCATCTATTGCTGATACACCTTTAAATTTACAAAAGAAGATCAATGCCTTGGAACATTTTTGCAATACCACAGGTATGAAGGTAAACTTGAAGAAAACTAAAGTTATGGTATTCAGAAATGGCGGACCCCTTAGACATTATGAAAAATGGAAATTTAATAGTGTATATATTGAAACCGTGTCGTTTTATAGATATTTGGGTATTGTGTTCACGCCCAAACTTGTTTGGACTAAGGCACTAAATACTCTTGCTGCACAGAGTAACAAGGCCATTATGACATTATATAGATATAAAAAAAAAGGTTGGTAATATACCCTGTGAAGATTTATTTAAGATATTTGATGCTATGATTGTGCCTATTGTCTGTAACGGCGCAGAAATATGGGGCATCTCATATTGTGAAATTGTTGAAGATGTACAGAACAAAATGTGTAAATGGTTTCTAAATACAGGTAAAACAACAAACAATGCAATGGTTTTAGGAGAGTGCGGAAGAGCCCCTCTCCAACTTGTGTATACCACAAGGGCCATCAAGTATTGGTGCAGGCTACTGCGTTTGGACGATCGCAGACTGCCTCGCCAATGTTATTTAATGCTCAAATCACTGGACCATTCTGGTCGCACCACATGGGCTACTCACATTAAGAATATTTTGTTTAAATTAGGTTTTGGATATGTATGGTTAACACAAGATGTTGGCAATGTGAAGGTATTTATTCATCTTTTTAAGCAAAGATTATTTGATAACCTTCAACAATAATGGTGTAGTTCTATCAATAGTTTATCTGATACCTTTTATTATAAACATTTTAAATCCCTGTTAAATGTAGAAAAATATCTTACACTCCCCATACCAGTACATCTGAGAATATGTATGACTCGTTTCAGATGTAGCAAGTTTAAACTTGCAGTTGACTTGGGGAGATACACAAATGCCCCATACACTGAACGATTATGTAAATATTGTATAGAAAATGGTATATCTTTTATTGAAGATGAATTTCATGTTTTACTTGTATGTGAGCGTTATTCAGCCCTAAGAAATATGTGTCTTAAACAGTATATCAAGTTTCAAACTGTAACATCTTTTCCTGAAATTATTTCATCAGAAAACTTTGACGTTGTATATAACACATGTTTATATCTATATAAAGTCCAACGGCTAAGAGAAACTTAAATCGACTACTTCCTTGGCATGCGTAGTTCATGCAATCAACCATTGTCTGTATTATTGGCCTATGGCCTTCTTACTGAATAAACTGTCTGTCTGTCTGTCTGTATAATACTATTCTATAGATGTAAACACATTTGAAGATACATCTGTGTGTTTAAAGTTGATTTTGACCGCCCGGGCCAAGTTGGACCAAACACATGCCAAACACTTCTGATAGAGACTATGTTGAGAAAGAAGACGGAAAAGGGCTTCACTTTGAGCCCCTTGTCTTCTTTATATACCGCGATCTGAGACATTATAAAGTGGTATTTAGGTAGCTATAATACTAATCTATAGACGTGAATCAATTTGATGATACATCTGTGAGGTTTAAGTTGATTTTGACAGCCCAGGCCAAGTCGGACCGAACACTTCTGAAAGAGATTTTCTTAAGAAAATACAGTAACAGTGCTTGACTTTAACGGCCAAGTTTTCTTTAAATGCGATATACTGGGACATTATATAGTGGTGTGCAGGTAGATATAACACTAAACTATAGATGTAAACACATTTGAAGATACATCTGTGTGATTAAGGTTGATTTTGACCGCCCGGGCCAAGTCGGACCCAACACATGCCAAACACTTATGATAGAGACTATGTTGAGAATGTAGAGGGAAAAGGGCTTCACTTTGAGCCCCTTGTTTTCTTTATATATGTACGATGTACTGTGACATTATAAATTGGTATATAGGTAGATATAACACTAATCTATAGATGTAAACACATTTGAAGATACATCTGTGTGATTAAGGTTGATTTTGACCGCCCGGGCCAAGTCGGACCCAACACATGCCAAACACTTATGATAGAGACTATGTTGAGAATGTAGAGGGAAAAGGGCTTCACTTTGAGCCCCTTGTTTTCTTTATATATGTACGATGTACTGTGACATTATAAATTGGTATATAGGTAGATATAACACTAATCTATAGATGTAAACTCATTTGAAGATACAGCTGTGTGTTTAAAGTTGATTTTGACCGGCCGGGCCAAGTCGGACCCAACACAAGCCAAACACTTCTGATAGAGACTATGTTGAGAATGTAGAAGAAAAAGGGCTTCACTTTGCGCACCTTGTTTTCTATAAATACTGCGATCTGTGACATTATAAAGTGGTATATAGGTAGATATAATACTAATCTATAGACGTGAATCCATTTGATGATACATATGTGAGTTTAAAGTTGATTTTGACAGCCCGGGCCAAGTCGGGCCGAACACTTGTGTGACTGTTGAGAGTATAGGGAGAAGAGGTCTACTTTAACCAACGTGTCTGCTTTAAATACGACGAACAGCGACGTTATAAAAGTGGTATTTACTTAGATATAGTACTATCCTATAAATATAAACGCTAATTCGACAGATGGAAATTCGTATCACGATAGCTAGATGTATTTGATACGTGTCAAATCTTATTTCGTTTAACGATTGCTCTTTTACATGTTACCTAGATCACCGTCCCTAACACATAGCTCCAGTTTCTGGTTTTCAAGTGATTTACTCCGAATTTCTAAATTATGGTGCGCGTTTTTGTTTGGTGATTGTTTAGTAATGTCATGTGTGTATGTTGCATCAATAATATGTAGGTATGATCGCCGATAATGAAGTAATTAGCCAATAACACTTTGGCCCGTGTTGGCCCGACCCGGCCCGACTTTTAGGCAATGCTCTAACTGTGTAAACATTAACCATAGCTACTGACCTAGTAAGTCTTCAAACACGCTCTTTCATTTTTCGTTCACAGATCAACATCCAGAGAAGTTCTGGGAGCGCTGCGAGCCGAGCGGTTACCCTGATGAGAGAGAGAGAGAGCAAGCCACTGAGGCGAGCAGAGAAGCTCCACTCGAGTGACTCTGGTAGGTTGACCCTGAGCGGAGAATACGCCGTGCTTGTCAGTCCGGTGTGAAGTGTGGCGGTGTGAGGAGCTTAGCTGCACTCCACTGCCGGTGTGGAGTCGGTATAAAGACAGACGGAGAGAGCCATTCATCATGAGTTGATATGTGAAGCAAGCAATGCCTCGTTGTAGACGAAAACTTTTTGTTATAGTGTGTGTCATCTGTACATTTGTACTCTGTCTCAACACTTTGATTGTCCCGAGACTATCCAACACTGCCACCCTCGCGGAGGGGGGTGGGGGCAGTCATCCCCACCCCGTACAGGACTTCGGGGACTCGGCCGGTTTGGCCCACCTGCCTGCATGGCGGAAAAGACTAAACAAGAGCAACTATACCAGCGACACTAGTCCGGAGGGGGAGGGTGTTGGGGTGGGCGACCACGAACCCTATAGACTCAACTATATGCCCCAACAGAAGGCAAACGAGCGAGATCCAGAGAAACCTTTAAAACACGTGCAAGAAAACAACAATGTCAGTTCGAACCCAAGGACGTTCAAATCTAATTATTCCGACCAACAACTGGATAATTTTCTACATGTTCTGAATAGAATAAACAACGAAAGCTTCCCCTTTTCTACACACGATGAAGTCCCATTATTTAAGTTTTTGCGGATGTACCGGAAAAGCTCGACGAGGAAAGGATTTGGTCTACCTGTTTACAAGAATTACAAGGGGTAAGTGAATGAGAAATCTCAATATCCTTTTGTTATTTGAAGCTCGTGTATATGTCATATGTCCATGTAAAGTAACTATAGGCGGTACCAATGAGCTGTCTTCTCTGCAGTACCAGTGATGTCAAACTACGAGACTGCACCGATGAAAAGCGTCAAGTCGGTATCAGCCATGTTAAAGAAATGCCCCATAGTATTGTGAGGAATTGAAACGCTAAATAACATTTGGACAATTTCAAAAGTTAAGCACACATTACCAAATGACTTGGTTCTGTAAAATGTTTTATGATAAATTCTGAAACGATGTAGGGATAGAAACAATAATACTTAATTGTTTAAAATAATTTTAGATAGTAGTTGTATGGTACTACAGAAGTGGTGGTGGTGGTGGTAGTGGTAGTGGTGGAGGGTGGTGGAGGTGGAGGCGGCGGGGGAGGGGAGGTGGGTGGCGGCGGCGGAGGGGGAGGGGGAGGAGGAGGAGGGAGGAGGAGGTGGTGGGTTCTTTGTTTTGGTTTGAGGGTCGTCAAAGCCATGGATGAAATGCGTTCTTTCGGGAGAGATGGGTGGCCCTGAAAAGGGCCGTTGGAAAACAAACTGGAAACTGGAAACGACAGGAAACGGTAGGAACACTGGAACACTGGAAAAACTGGAAACGATTGGAAACTCGAAAAACAGTGGAGCAGCATGTCCAATGCGTTAGTCACTTTGCTCAGATGATCTATCTTTTTCTTCTTCTTCCTTCTCTTCCTCGGACTGATGACGTCGTCGGCGCTTTGAAGAGTGCTTTCTTGAGGTGCTTCTGTCCCGTTTTCTTTTCCCTAGACGTGGTGTGATGCCCTCACGGAGTTGTGTGATGCATTCTTTTAGGGCACACACATCGATATGCATGGCTTCTATGAGATGAAGCACTTGTGTCGCTTGTGTCACTGGTGTCACTGGTGTCACAGGTGTCGACATGGACGGCACTGCTGAAGTTTTCTTTCGACTGGGTTCTGGGCAATCAGCAGCGAAATGACCCACGACTTGGCAGTTGTAACATGGGCCCTGGGGAGTCTTCTTTCGACTGGGTTCTGGACAATCTGCAGCAAAATGACCCACGACTTCTTTCATATTGTCGCCCAGCAAATCATCGATGACCAGCCAATGCGGGGCCACCGCTTTTTCAGCCAAGGCACGATCCGCTGTGCACAAACTCAAGAGCGACCCCTAAGCGGTCTGCCATCTCTTCCAGCTCATGATGAAGCGGTTGCCATTCGCTGTACACTAACACGATGCGATGGGGTGGCGTATCCAACACCTCGGGGCAATGCATCTGCTCCATACATGGACATACTTTTTCCTGATCCCGCAATGGACGTGTTTTTTATGACGAAGTAAGACATCTCTTCTAGAAAATGTCTGAACACAGTCTGAACACGATGTGGACTCCATCACGTCTTACAAGGCAACTGATCTTTCAAGCATGGCCTTTTTCTTTTATTTTTATTTTTTAAATACTTTATTCTTTACTTTCACAACGAGCATGTGCACTGACATGACAGACAGACAGATAGACAGACAGACAACGTAGACGACATCTCAACTCACCCTCTACCCTCAATTTAGCACCATATTGGAGTTGAGATCAATCAAGACACAAAGAGTCAGTTCAATCAATCACTATTTAATAATCAACAACAACAACAACCAGATACAAAGGAAATATGAAAAGACAACTGAGGAGGGAGTGCTTTGCATGTCCCAACAACAACAGCGCAAAAACTTTTCATCTTCGATCTTCAAGCTCTTTGAGTGAAGATGGGGTCACCATAAGATGTGGTCCTCCATCATACTGTCCCAAACAGGTCCCAACCATGTTAGGGGCCCATCAGTAAAACAGGTACAGTCTATGGCCTCCCTGAAACAGACATGACACATTACTTGACCACTGTTGCAGCTTATGTATCTCAGCATATTGTTGTGCCGATAGGAACTACATTCACGTTGTAGGGAAGTGAGTTGAGCTTCTCCATAAGGATCCTGGTCAACGTTGTCGTTGTTGTTGCAAACCATGGGCATACCTGAGGAGAAGACATTAAAATCCTCCGGTGATGCTGGTGACCAAGAAGCATCAAGCAGGGTTGGTGTGTCCAGATCCATGGAAGGGAGGGCTGTCAGCTTGAGCGTTTCATGATCATCACCGTCACTGGTCGTCATCATCACAGGCGCATTCGGCGAAAAGGTGGCTCCCGAGGGGTTTGTTCCCACCACTGTTCCAACACGGACTGCGCTGAACCGACATCGGGGGAAGGAAGGATGGGTGTCCTGTCAAATCAACAAGAAAAGAACCCTTCAGTATACCCACGATCATCGTCATGCATTCCTGATATTCATCATCATCATCATCATAACAGCAAACACATCCAAAAGAATAGCATGGTACTTACAGCTGGTCTTGATGAGAGATCTTCAGAGACAATTTCTTCCGTGGTCGTCTTTTTGAAGGTGTTGCAAGTTTAAAAAAGGATGTCCCTTTCGTTTCACTGTCTGCTGCTGCTGTGGTGGTGGTTGGTGCTGTTGTGGTGGTGGTGGTTGCTGCTGCTGCTGTGGTGGCAGTTGCTCCTGCTGTTGTTGTTGATGCAGCTGCTGGTTTGCTTGTTTTTTCTTCTGGGTCTTCTTTATCGTCTTCTTCGGTGCTACTTTCTTTGGTTCAGTCAGTTTCCCCATCTTCGAACGTATCATGTCGCACATCACTTCGTCGGCCTTCGCACTTGGCATACATGTCGTCGCCCTTTATCTTCGCACACATCACGTCGTACACTTCACCCCACAGTTCAGCAGTCATTTCACTGTTCTCATCTCCACTCCCTTTACCACCCATGTCGCTCCGTGTCTTGGCATTCATAAGTTTCGATGTGATGTTGTCCGGATTTTCTGTTCGTTGTTTCTTTCCAAGTCTTCACGGATGTGTGTCAACACTTGATGGTACTCTCTCCAAACATGTTTCTTCCAGATAAAACGCCAACAGCCAACACAAAGTGAGGAACATCAGTCAGAGGGACGATGTTGTTGCTTGGACTGTTCAGTGAAAAGTGATGATCGGAGAGCATCTGTCAGTTTTAAGACATTGACACCCTGCTTCCTGATTGGATCCGTTCCGATGACTGGTCTGAGCCTCAAGTTTTCCAAACTGGACCGACCCTTGTGTTTCTTTTCCATAGGGTCAGGCTTGTAGCATGAGAGAGAAAGCACAACCTCCTTTCGACCAATCAGAGGCCGCTTTTGCCCTGGGCTTCTGATTGGTCAGATTTCGATCCAGTTTTTCTGTAGGTGTCCCTGTCGATTCATAAAAAATGATCTAGTCGTCTCTGTACCCAAAGAGGAGCATGTCTACAGGAAGCCCTGTGGTTTCGTCGTAGACGAGGCGTCGCATGTCGTAAACGGTGCGGTAGTCTTTTCAGGTGGGTCGGGTCACAAGAGGGTTCCTGTGCTGAGGTCCTTTACGAATGATTTGATGAGGGTAATCCAAGCTGATTTTGTTCCCCTCCTTCCCAGGCCGTTGTCCCAGTATCAGTCCTTTCATGGTTTCAAAGTTGAGGTGTTGTTGGTTTCTGTAATTCAAGGTGAACCCTCGCACTTTGCAGGTCGTGCGCGTTCCATCGGGTCTGGGGTTCATTAACTCATAGCCATAGTTTTTGGGGCCTCCTGACACAAACGTCTTGATGGTGTTGAGACGCGCTTGGGCGGTGACCCAAGCAGCTATGGCAACATTGAAATGAGAATGAGGGGTTTGGAATTCTTCCTTGTGGGTATAGGTAACTTCCACCATGTGTTCGTTGACGACAGTGACATTCTCGATGGTATTTCGTTTATCCCTCCACAAGGCAAAGTACTGCGCGGGATCGTTCATATAGACGTTCTGACTATAGTCTAACCGTTGTCTGAACTTGCCCCAGAGCGAATTAAGAAAGAGCTTGGCAATCGTGCGAAGTCCTGGTTTTTTTCTGATGCCGTCCTTGTCCAACCGAATGCCTTCTTTCTCATAGATCTCCTGGATGTAAGCGTCGTGATCCGTACATCCCTCGGGGTATCCACGGGCTTTCGAGCTTCTCCTTGAAATGACGATCGATATAAGTGTCAAAGAGTCCTTCTTGCTGGGTGTCGGGGTCATGCTGTGCAAAGGTGTTGAAATGCCAAATGTCGAAGATCTGAAGCACCTTGTAACCATACTTCTTCACGGCTTCATGGAGTTCTACGGTGGCGTACGTGCCCACCCAAGACCTCTCTTCGTCCGTGTGCTTGCAGGGTGAGTCTGACCGGGTATCGGCACACGTGCGGCACAAAGGACAGAGCAGTTTACCACCCGATCTGTAGGATAGTAGCAGATGGTAGAGTCGTTTCGGGGTTAGGACACGGCATTGGATAAGTCCTTTCAGCTCAAACAGCCTGTCCAGAGGTGGTTGATGGAGAAGGGTTGGGTGTCCTGTGGGAAACACTCCGGTCTTGCAAATGTAAGGATAAAGTGAACAGATATCGATATATTTGATGGTTTCACCTTCTTGGGCTTCGTAGAAGGATTCGCGAGGGTTGAGCGGACCAGGTACGTTGATACAGTGGGGTCCCTGCAAGAAAGCACGCAAAGCGGAGTCTTCATGTTGTATTTTTTTAAACTCGCATTCCCACAGGGTGACAACCAGTTTCACCTCAGGGTGTTGGTTCAAGAGACTCAGACGGTAGCGGATGTCATTATAACGCACCCAGATGGCATACCCAGATGGCAGCAAGTTCCTCTTCGACGATCCTTGTCTTGCAATAAGATTGGACATGATGTTGCTTCTTGGACAGCAGCAGAAAAAGTTTTTTCTTCTTCTTCTTCTTCCAAACGGCCCTTTTCAGGGCCACCCACAGCACCCGAGCCGAGTTGTGCTTTCTCTCCCATGGAAAAAAAACATTTCCTTTGGAAAAGAAACACAAGGGTCGGGTTGTTTTGGAAAACCGAGGTGCAGGCCAGGCGCCGGAACGGA